CCTGAGCCACACACTGCCCTAATCAAACAGTATTTAATGTGTTGTTTTTCCGTTTGTGACTTAAAAAGCATCATATCATCTCCCACATAAAAAATGATATATCGTATTAAATATATAATACATAATAAAGTATGTATATAATTTTTTGTCAAACATATCGCATAGGCAAAAGTCAAAGTTCACAAGCCCTTAACGAAAATTTCCTGATCACAACTTTTAAAACCGTTCAAATCTGTCGCTGGCGAAAAGTTATGAACAATTTTGACTAAATTACAAATATTTAGTTAATGAAATTTGCGATAATAATTTCAGCATAAAATAAATTTAGATAACACAAATTGCTTGTTGTTACAGTGCACTGGTCCGGTGTAGAGAATAGCGTCTTTTTCTCAAAAGTCTTATACATTCCATTGTAAGTAATAAGCGGTGCTGATGCTACATATGCATATTGCAAAACTTATATGTCAAATCGGCTTCAAGCTGCCAGTTCTATCACTGGATTTGCCGGAACGTAGGTGCTGTTCCAGGCAATTCGCCAAGCAGGAAGTTGAACAGCACGCTTCACTACAGTTGTACTTCACAGAATATGATGCACTTTGCGCATCTTCATCTTCCATCGCCGCTTCTCCTTTCGGGTCGCGGAGGCAGACGCGTCAGACAGTGCTTCCAACGTTCCCGAGCACTTTGCGCAGCAAGCCGCAATTCAATGAATCGTGGCATCGACGGTTACTGTCACCAATCACTTGCAAGACATTAGTACGATTAGTACATTACATTTGCATATCTTACCATCTTATCACTAACACATATCAAGGGCAGGTATTTTAATGAAATCATAACCGCCGTTAGTTGACATCGGTGCAGGTAAACGCCGCGAAAGTCATCTCGTCCACAAATAAACGATGGCACAATAGAAACATGACGGTTTACAACTGGCGAAGTTGCATACGTAAAATAAATGGGCTTTATCCAAGTTGTAATAAGACCTGCGTTTCTTCAACGCAAGAAAGAGGAAAACCAAAAACTGTGGAACGGACATGAAATAAACCTGTGTGGCGTCTGGCGTCTGCAGCAGTTTCAAAGGGTATCTGATTAATTACATCTAATCGTCAGAAATGGTACTTGAGACATATATTAGGCAGAGTTCACGGCAGAGGCAAAAGTCATATTACTTTTTGCAATCAGGTGTGTCTCAATGATGGCTATCCATTGTTTGTATCGTTCTCTGACGCGTACGCGCAGCTGGTACTTCCCATGTGAGAAAAGCTTAGAATTTTTACTGTCCTTCAGGCGTTTCACCAAAGCAGGTCAGGCACCGGTTTGTGTGTTCGACTGATCGACGATCGTCAGCAGCTTCCCCTTTGTGGCACCACTGCAGTTTGAAGATACTGCACACAGAATGTTGCTGAAACACATCTAGAAGAGTTTCATAACGCTTCAGGATAGCAGATGTTTCGAGACCATTGTGTGCAACGCGAACGTAGGAGCTTTCAGGACGGTCGACTGTTTAAATTGTTTAACACCGCATGATCAACTGTGGCGGCCAAGGCGTCACTAACTGAATCTCGGAAATCGTTAAACAATAAATTATATTAATACTTAGCTGCATACTTTGTGTAGCAATCGATACCGCAATTCTTTGTCATATTGTAATAAGTAAACACAGTTTGTTTTGCAACGTCACTATTTATCTCTTTTCAGCTCACAGAAGTCTGCAGTTGGCTCGACTAAATTAAATGGAATTTAACATAGATTCCAATGAACGGTTGGCCACCTAATTGGTTTAGCCGGCTTCAGCGATGTTGCTGGCCATCTCTGTCGATCAGGCGCAATGAACGCCAACAAGTTCAACTATGATGAAGAATGTCCTCTGAGAAAAGCTTTGACTGAGTAAATGGTTTGGTTAAGCTGGTTACACTGATAATCTATCAAACAAGGATAAGAGGGATAAGAAGAATAGAAGACTGAACTCTGTGGCGAATCTACCATCATTCAGCAGTGAAACATAACCGCTTGATCATGACGATGATATAATCACAGATATTCGGTAAAATGCATTTCTGTGCAATACAGCTACAGTTCGCGCGATGAGAACAACAAAGTTTAGAAGTTGTCCCTGCAACATAATGATTCACGCCACAACAGCTATCCTTAAAATTTTGCATAATAGCGGCAATATTTGGCACATACAAAAAAAATTAACTTTGTTTGGTTAGATTACTGCACAACTTTCAAGTCGGCCAGTTTCGAAAACTCAGAAAAACATTGTACCATTGAAATGGGTGATGTAGCTAGTGCCGTTGACCAAAAAGTGGAACAGCGGCCCAGAAGGGAAAGCGACGACTTTTGGGCAACGCAGCAACGCCGTGTTTCCGACCATCACGCGTACTGTCGTGTCGTCGTTCGTTTCTGAGATCCTTATATCTGAAAGACGAAGCATGAGAATCGCAAGAAACGACCGACCAGATACGCCACGGTCATCACAATCTTACCTGCCGCCCTCATCCTCAATCCTGGACTGATGAGACTGCCGATGCCGGAAATAGTAGCTATGCACTCGTAGGTGCCGGTCGACGTCACCTGATTCGCGTCTTTTACAATAACGAGCCTGCATCAAAGCAAACTACCGTAAGAAAATCATCAATGAGCTGCTAGGTACAGAATACCTACTTTTCGTGAACGACGTAACTGTCCCTCGAGGCTACCACCAGACTGCCGTTGTGGAACCAAACGTAATGGGCGCTGCTCTGAATTTGAAGCTCGTTTTCATCGTCAGTTCCAGAGACGGTCAGCGCGCAGTTTAGCTCAACATCTGATCTTCCATCGAGACACAACTCCGTCCGCTGCGAGTTGATCAGCAGGTTGAATTTTCGTCGCCCTGCAATACGCCCAAGATGGAAACATTTAAAAAAGCGATTCGCAAAAACCTTAAAACCGGGAATCAGCTGTTTGCAGATTCACACCTAGATCAACGATATTCACTCAACTATAAAACTGGCGCTACAGTCGTCACTGTACTCTTCCACAAGACATCAGGATCGTAATACCGACACGGTAGCGACATAAAAGATTCTGTCATACACCATAACTTGACGTGAACGAGTTGCTTATAGTCAAGTGGCGAGTTAGCAACGTGTCTAAGAGGTCTGCTTCGAACTCTGGAACTGCGGAGTTTGATTCCGCTTGAAAGCCATCTTTGTCTTATTCAGGAATTTTCTTGAGCAAGTAATTTAATACATACTACTTAAGATAGGATTTATTCAGTTGGTAGAACACTGAACTCAGAACCGATAGATGCCCAGTACAAGCACCGGTGGAGGGTACTCGCCCCTTCTTTCCGAGGTTGATAAATGAATACCACTCCGTGGGAGAAAAACAGGAAATTACGCCTTACGTTCGCCACACCACACGGCATTAAAATGAAGGCAACCCTGGCTGATGGCACAGAAATGGAAATCAGCACCGCATGTTCAACTTCATGAACAGAAAGACCTGTGGCCAAAATGGCGCAATCGTGAAAGAGAAAGGAGACTGATATTCCACGGTTGACCAACTTTGCTTTTTCCTTTCCTTAGAGTAGTATATGATGTCAGTAGAAAAAGATGCAAATACGCATGTCAAAAAATTGATTAACTTACCGGATGAGTTCGCGAGCAACGACTGCATGAACAAATAAACCACCGCGTATTTATTCATACCGAACTGACCGTCAGAGAGTAAGCTACAAAAAACATGTAAAATATTGATAATTTTTCTGCT